TTTTTTTTTTTTTTTTTTTTTTTTGGTACTGGGGATTGAACTCAGGTCCTTGTATTTGTAAGGCAGGTGGCAGAACCACCAAGCTAAATCCCCGACCCAACTTCTTTTTATTTTGTATCTTGAGACAGTCCTGGTAAGTTGCCCAAGCTGGGCTCAAACTTGAACTCCTCCTGTCTCAGTCTCCTGGGGTACTGGGATTATAGGCATGTTCACCATGCCTGGCTCTGGTTTACTTTTGATACAGTATTCCTGCTCTGGACCTCATCTTTTTCACTTGTAGTACTATGGTATTAAATAATGAATTCTTAATTTTGGATCCACAAATCCACAGGTATTTGGTGAATCATCTGAGAATTAGTGCAAAATGATCCATGTATATTGTAGGGATCCAGCTTAATACACCTGTAGTCATCTTGCCCATCAGGTGACTGTGGAACATTTTCCAAATCATACAAGATAAAGTTGTTAAGATAGCTTAGCATTTTATACTGGCTGCTGGTGCCTCGACTGTTTCTTACCACCATTTGATTTGTTAATAGATTTTCAGAAAGCCTAGGTACATTCTCTTTGCGGAAGGTCGCCTTTGTGTAGTTTAATATAAACCTCCTTCCTGTCTTGAGATGTGGGAATCCTGTCTTGCACCTACCAAATTATTCCTCTTCTCTTGGCTCCTAATAAATTGTACTTTGTGCAATCCTGCATCTCTGCTTCTTTGTTTGATCTTTTGGCATCTCCCACCAGTGGCACGCAGTTCTCAAACACCAAGTTTTCCCCCAAACATAAATGTACATATAGACACATTTTTGTTTGGTGAGTTATCCAGAGCTTTCATCTGATTTTCAAAAAGAAAATACTATAAAAGCTAGTTTAAAGAATATTATAGCTCTAATATTGTAGGATTAGTGAAAGACCGTGGTGATAGGCAGATATAAACTAACCTTTTCTGTAAGACCTATTAAAAATGTCAGTCACAGTTGAAATCCATTAATGTGTACAATATTTGCTAATATAACTTAAACCCAGAAAAGATGTTACCATTTTGACCTGAATGTTTTTTTAGTTTTCTTATTTTTTAAACTAAAATCTAAACTTAGACACTGAGACTTTAAAACACCTTTACACCTAGAGAGGGCTCTTCCTTCCAGCCCCCAGTTACAGTACCTCAAAAGGCCTAACGTCGGAGAGAATCAAGCCTGTACTAGGGACAACCTTATCAGAACGTGCTCAATGTCTTGTAATGTGGCAGTTACTCTTCATGTGGACAGGACAAATCAGAAGATGTAGACAGATGAGGGTGACATTGGCTGATAGCTCCCTACAGTGGCTTAGTGAAGGAGTTGATACTTAAATGCTTGAGCGTATCTGTGTGACAGTTTTGTCTCCTGTCAGAGCCAAGGTCTATTGGCTTATTCTTGGGAGAATCTTAACAGGCCAGAAAAGCCTTGCTTCTCCAACCCAGTTCCAGGTTTGTGGGCTGCTATTGAGCAAAATAGAAGGGCCTAGAGTACACTTTGCCTTTCAAAGGGCTAGCTGGGTGTGCCAGTTCACACCTGTAATTCCAGCACACTTGAAGCTTAGACAAGACTGGAAGGTCAAGCCCATCCTGGGCAACTTAGTGTCTGAAAAATATAAAGAATTTAAAAAGTGCTAGAGATGTAACTCATTGAAAAGGCACTGGGTACAATCATCAGTACTAAAGAAAAAAAACGAAAAGCATAAGCATGGGTGATTATTGTAGCAGACATGAGGTCACAGACTCAGAAAACATTTGTCAAATATACTCAATACAATTAAAATGGGGTCAGGAAATCAGTCTATAGAGAAATCTAACATAATCTATTTAATTTAAATTCAACCTTTTTTGTCCAGAGTAAGTTGCCCAGATTAATTTTCCTTAAAAACACATTTTTAAAATTTAAAAATATTTAACATTAATTTGAAATATCAGATGTTGGATGTTTATTAATGATAAAGCCATAGTATGTGGGTACTGAACAGTGGGGCGGAACAGTGACGGGGATTGTTCTGTTACACAGAAGGATGACTTCAGGTAACAATATTGCACAATATAATTCAAACTAGCTAGGAGATTTTGACTGGTCTCATCACAAAGAGATAAGCATTTCAGAAGGTAACCTAAATATCCTGAGTTAATACATAATATGTGAATGTTCTAAAACATCACCGTGCCTCCACAGACACTACTGTCTTAAAAAGTTAACATTATGGAGAAAATATTTTTCCCTTTCTGCATTTCATTATGAATATTGAGTTGAATTACTAAAGATAAAATTAAGTTATAAAGTCAGTACTTTAAAAAGAAAAATCGCCAAAATTATGATTTGAATATTTCAAATTGCCATCCTCATGTACACATAGTTTTGGATGTAACCCGACAGAATAATGTACATTAAAATATTCACAGCAATTATGGAGTATAACAAAAAGTACATATGTAAACTAAAAAAAAAAAAAAAAATCCATCGCAGCCAGGTATGGTGGTGCACACCTATAATCCTAGAACTGTGGGAGGCTGAGGCAGGCTAACCACAAATTCAGGGCTAGCTTGGAAAATTTACTGACAGGGTTTTAAGATCCTGTCTTAAAAAATTAAAAAGGGCTGGGCATATATATATAGCTCAGTGTGAAGGCCCTGAGTTCAATCCTCAGTACTGTAAGACAAGACAAAAACCACTGCAATCATTTTAATTAAGGCTCTCAACAGTTCTAAATTTTATTTATTTATTTATTTACTTATTTATTTTATTATTATTTTTTTGGTACCAGGGATCGAACTCTGGCCCTCAGTCTAGTGAGGCAGGCGGCGGAACCAATGAGCCAAATCCCTGGCCCCTAAATTTTATTTATTTGTTTCTGGTACCTGGAATCAAACCCAGGACCTTGTTCTTGTAGGCAGGCAGGGCACCACTGAGTACATCCTCAGCCCAACACTTCTAAATTTTAAAGCATATAATATTAAAGAAATTTTAAAGCATATAATATTAAAGAAACAGAAACCACACCTTTAAAAAAATTTTAGGATATGCTGCTTTTTATTCAAAAGAATAAAATACCTGACAAACTTTAAATCACAAAATTCAAATCAGTCAGTCCTCTACACCAACTCTGTGAGGTAGGTATCTGCAAAGCCACAGGGATCAATCAGCAGGAGTCCTTTTGCCCTTGCTCCTCTCAAATGCTGAGTGAGAAGTGTAGGAGTTGAAACCACTACTAAGTGGCTATTAGAACAATTGTTTTTCTGTCTTGTTCCCCACAGATGTGATCTGCTCCTGGGGTTGACCATCCGTTTTTGAAACAGCATTTTAAAAACACCCAAATAGCTGCTCTGACTTATATGATGTAACCCTGAATCATACAAGTATTACTGTGATGGTTAAAACACTGATTGTACTTTAAATATTCTCAGATTTTTTCTGCACTTATTAAGTCTAAAAAGTCTGAGATGTCAGAATGTTTACTTTTCAGTTTAATAAAGACCTCAGATCATACAGTGCTTTAGTATGTTACAAAGTTTGGTACATCTCAACAGAGAAAGCAGTATTAATTCCAGACATCACAAAATTATTGTAACCATAAATTTGACAAAGTGGACCAGAACACTTAAGCAAAATAAAGTCCTTTCAGAAAATGATGTTGCTGTAGTCTCACACCAAATTGACCATGGGTGAATATGCATTTCCAGTCTGGCGTAATAAGTTCCTATTCATTGAATTCTGCTGATTAGTCAAGTGACTTTATTTTTTTTGGTACTGGGGATCAAATTCACAACCTTGTGCTTCTGAGGCAGGAGCCATGCCAAGGTAAACCGCAGCCCTCCTACTCATTTAATTTTTCAAACTGATAGCTGAGCTGAAATACTTTTCTATAACATATGTCATTCTCTTAAAAGGTTTGGTTTGGAAGTATAGAATTAGGATTCACGAAGTTTCTGATGTGTCATCTTTCTAGACCTTTTTCTCTTAGGGGCACCTAAGTGTCATACTCCAGTGGAAGAATGCATTATGAAAGACTTCCAAAGGATTCCAGTTTCTCTCCTTGTCGCCTTAACATCCTTTGTGTCTATCTAACAACCTCTACTTATTTGTTGTATGGTTGTATGACTTAAAGCAAAAGATAAAACTTTCATCAATATCACAGGGATATCATCTATGAAAAGGAAGGTAAATGCTATCCCTTCCTCACAAGATTTCCCTAAGGATAAAATGAAAAGTATGAGGAATTGCTATAACTACTGTGGGCTATAGCCAAGCACTCCTTTTTCTATGACAAACACTAGCTCTGTCCTAGGTCCAAATTAGAAAACATAAATTGACATTGCATTCAGAATCTCATTAGCTGATGGCCAAGTTGATTAATGTGAGGAAATTGACAGGTTTCTCTTTTTCTTCCTGTGTACACACAATGAGGCTCAGTGATAAACTGATGGATAATATTAGTATCAGTGACTGCAGGTGACAAAGGCCACACTGACGCTAGGGTATCAACTTACATCCTACTGTCTTCAGTCCACTAATGAGCCATGCCAAAAGAATGAAATGATCCTGTAATACTTGTACTGACTAGTCGCCAACAGAAAAGTATAAAGAGGGCATTAGATACTCAGGCTGTGGTCATCAAATACAAACACAAACATAAGAGCTTCCCTAGGCAATCAAATCACCTCAAACATGTGCTCATTTTACACAAGACAGGAATTGAGGCTATATGCTGCCATCTAGGAGACAGAATTATAAAACTTCTGACAATGGACAACCAAATTTTTCCATTCTGTTGCTAGAGCTAACCAGCAGTTCTCAAATTTAAATAGTGTTCCTATTACCTTCCTAAGGGCCTTGGTGCAAATAGACATAAAGATCCAGTTTCTTCAGAAACACAATATCACCCAGGCTTCTAAAACAATGTTCCCTTTATGAGTTATTTTTTAATGTATTCCTACCAGAGGACCAAACTTATGCAAATGTCATAACTATGATCATCCAGTATGCTAACTGGAGATAAATGTCTTCATATTGTTAATTATTCTATTGATTAAAAAATGTTCCATAAACTAGAATATGAAGTCAAATTATAAAGCTCAAGTTTCTCCATTCATTTTCAGCTGGTAAGAAAGAATTATACCTGAATGGAAAAGCATAACTGCCCCAAATGCACAAAACTTAGCTAGTACTAAAAGAAACACTAACTTTTCTCCAGTATTTTATTGCAACAAAAATATTTAGGTGAGTTTTATAGTTACGTATTACTGTATAGGTAGCAACTAAGGATGATAAACTACATTTAACAATACTGTATTACATATCCAATTAATCTAAATAATTTTATGGAAAAGAAGATGCCAAAATACCTCTTTTTTTTAGTAATTCCATATTTTTTTCCAGAGACTTTATAGACAACATAGAATCAAGATACAACTACAAGTTATTGTAATTCTGATCTTAATATTAGAACATGTAAGAATTCCAGTTATATATTGCTAGGTATTGTCAAATGGTAATCAGATGTTTGTCATATAATGGTTTTAACCTTAGAAGATATTTAGATAATTTATACTGATATGAGTCCTTCTGTTTGGCATTGTAATTTAGTTCAGATATTCTAGTTAAACTAATTTCTTTATTCATCTAGTTAGCCTCTGGGTTATCACTTCTCGATACATAATAGAAATGTAGATAAGCAACAAAAAGATGACAAAGAAATCATCTAGAAAGCCTAGAATTCCAAACAAGGCTTCAGGTACAAAATCTAGAGGTGATATAAGGTAGAAAAAGGCTCCCATTAAACAAAGTATTATCCTAATTCGAAACATCCAGAAAAGACCCCCAACTGAAAACATTTCCCTGAAAGCATGTCTCAGTAAAGTAGGTAGATCCATGATTCTTTCCATAATCTGGTAGAGGGAAAAACAAACATCATGATATAGCATTTAATATGTCAGGTTAAAAACAACATGATTTTTTTACAACGTTCAAACTTAAGATGAATAAAAGTTTCATGTTTTGGGCACTGTATTTTCTCATTATACATTTTACTTAAAAATAGTTCTTTAATTACAATAGGTCTTACTGCAGGTAATTTGGAAAAAAAAAAAAAAAGGTAACTGCAAACAAGCTTAAAATATCAGATATAAAAGTTTAAATATCCCTTATCTAAAAACCCAAAATTGGAAATACTACAAACTCAAAAATGCTCTGAAATCTAAAATACTCCAAAATATTTGAAACTCTCTCAGCATTACTCAAAACTTTTTTTGAGTATCTCAAATTTTGGATTTTCTGATTAGAGATGCTCAACTGGTAAAGCCTATGCAAATATTCCCAAATCCAAAAAACTCTGAAATCTGAAATTTCTGGCCCCATGTACTTTAGATAAGGAATACTCAACCTGTTATCTCTAATGTGAGTTAGTAAAATAAAATGAACAAAACCAAAAACTTAGTAGACAGAATTAGAATCTGAGCCTTGAGCTGCAGTGCCCACTTTATAATGAGGTGGGCCTGAGTTTGAATTCAAAGACAATCACTTATTAGCCAGATGATCTTGGAGACAGCTGTGTAACCCATAAGAGATAATTAATTCAACAACTAATTGAGCTTTAGTAATTGAACATTGAGTAATCCACAGGGATTACTAGAAGTTAGAAGAGGTTATACATGAAAAATTTTTGTAAGCTACTAAACAATATGTATGATATACATTAAAGACAAATGAATTTGGAGAGGTATTAAATATCACACAGAAATGGATTCCTCGCAGGGAATCACTTCTATCCCTCCACCTAGAGTTCAGTTATTACTAACCATGTATCAGAATCCTAAGTCTAACTTTGGGTAGGCATTTTATTTAACAAGTGCTGAGGTTATTGAGAAAGAGGAGACAAAAATTTTTAAAAACTGAGTGAGGAGAAAGTAGTTTTTAAAAATCCCCTAGAAAAAAATCTTATAATTCCTTTTGGAAAAGTGGTCACAAGAGAAAAAAATGATATTTTAGAATAACTTTCTATATTAATTTTCTGTTCTTTATGGAAAGAAGTAATTTAAAAAGAGCTATACAGCTTTCACTAAGCCTATGGTATATTATTTTAAATACTGTTTAAGTCTAGTATATCATTTGAATATCTGTCTTTTCTCAGAGCTATTTTATTAGCTTCTAATATGATATCATTTATACAAAAATCTGTAAATCTATAATTAGGCGAGAAATACAAAGTTACTAAGAAACATTTGTGTATTAAACATATTCCTACTCCAAATGTGGACGAATATCAAAGAGCTAAATTCCTTTTTTATATTGTGATTTCAACATATACCATAAAAATATTGCTGGATTAAAAATAGGAAAAGAGGTTTCTAAACAATTATAGAGGATAATAATGTTTCTTTATTGCTTAAACACCTAGAAAATGATACATGACATCATATAACAAAGAATTAGGAGGCAGAAAAGCACACATTTGCTTAATACTGATGCATTTTAATAGCTTAATATTTTTGGCTGGGAACCATAATATCAATTCTCATCTTAAGTATAACTCATTAATTTATTCAACAAACACTGAAGTCTAAGCCCCAGGCACTAAATAAGCCACTGAGAATGTAGTAGTAAATAAATACAACACAAATCCTGGCCCTCATGAAGTTTTTAGTCTATTCATAGAGAAATAATATGCAAGATTGGATTAATTACTACCTGCGATAAAATGCTATGAAGGAAATGAACAAGGGGCAGTGCTAGTCAGGGAAAGCCTCTCTGAGAAAGTCTATTCAATGAAGACAGCTCTCATCTAAGGGAAGAGAAGTAGGAAATGAGAATAAGGAGACAAAGCCAAGAAAATGTCTCATGCGAAGACCTGAAGGTGGGAAGAACTGAAGAGCACACTCTGAGGGATTAAACGCAGTCAGCGAGGAAAGGTACAAAGGATGGAGGGAGGGAGGACTAGGTCAAGTAGGGCCCTGTGAGTAACAGGAAGGAATAAGAACATTAGTTCACATATCAGAAGTCTTTTTTTTTTCCTTTTCTTTTTTTCCCTGAGACTGTCTCACGTTGTAGTTCAGGCTAGCCTTGAACTCACTATGTAGCCCTGGCTATCCTTCAACTCCTCCTGCCTCAGGCTCCTGAGTGCTGGGGATTACAGGCCTTCATCATCACATCCAGCAAAAACTTGGAAGTTTTAAAACACGAGAGCATCTTGGTCTGAAAATACTAGGCTGCTGAGTAGAGAAAAAAGCAGAAGTGTGTGTGTAGGGGAGTTAGCCAGAGCAGATGACAATGACAGGCTAGCACAACTGCTCTGGTGACACAGATGTACACCATCATATTTTTATGAAGTGAAAGTAACAGGTACCCAGAAAACACCAAGGAAAGAAATGATAGGACTTACAGATCAGATGAGAGAAATGGGGAGAAGAGGAAATCAAGACAGAAAAGAATGAGTTAAGGGGGAATCAGTTAAACATTCCACATGTTTAGTGTGAGGTGCCTGGCCAGACAGAAATGTCAGTCAAGCATAAGACTCAGTGTGGGGCCCAGAAGAGATTTCATGGCTTTCTACGTAAATCTGCACTTTGTAGAGTTAAAGTTCTAGAAGTACATATTCTGTCATGTTCACAGATTTATTTGTTGGGGTATGAGAAACTAAAATGTGTCAGTCGTACAGAAAAGTAGGTAAATAAGATAGAATATAACAAAAATTGTGAAACCTTCTCCAGAAGTTTTCTCATGAGACAACTGATTTAAAATAATCTAGAAGCCAATAAATTTCTATTTTCTTCCAATGTTTGTAATTTTTTGCTAGTTTTTCTTTCATAAAGATATAATGTGTTTTGTTTTTTAAGAAGGAAAATTGTCATAAGATTTTGCATAGTCAAAGAACACTTGTTCATAAATCTTACTTTACAAAAAAATATAATAACTCCCTCTAATTTTCCACTGTTAAAATAATACTCACAGATCTGGGCTGCCCTGAGAATCTTCGGTTGTAATCATTAACATCTTGACATAATCTTACAATATCCTGAGATTGATCAGTGTCACCAAATACTGTTAGAAGTAAAGTTACCTATAATTATAAGAAAAAGCTCTTAAATATTCTGAATCAATAACTTTTTCATTTTATGTTTTCAATAGTCAATCCCTGGTACCCAAAAAAGAAAACAAAAACAAAACCCAAAAAACCCTCAACTTCAGAACTCCACAACTCATAAATAATCAAGCTCTGACACCTAATCTCACTGCATATGGACATACTGGATTAGATTTTTTTGTCCTGACAATGGGGATACAACCCAGAACCTTCTGCATGCTATGCAGGCACTCTACTACTGAGCTACACTTCCAGCTCCTCTAGGGTTTTATTTGGTTTTTTGTTGTTGTTGTTTTTTTGAGACAGGGTCTCACTATATAGTTGAGCCTGACCTGGAACTCACTATGTAGCCCAGGCAGGTCTCGAACTCACAGTGATCCTCCTGCCTCAGCCTCCTGAGTGCTGGGATTACAGGTGAGCACCACCACGTCTGGCTTTACTCATTTCTTTTAATAAAGGCAACATACATGGGAAACAGTAGGTTATTGCCTTATAGTAAAATCCAATGTAAGGTGTTGGAAATGTAGCTCATTGGGAGAGCATTTGCCTAACCCTGTGTTTGATCCCCAGCATGCACACGCACGCACGCACACACACAAAATAAAATATATTTGAACTCCTATAAGATAAAATGGGAATCTAAACACTAGTTCTAATAGTTTTCTCCCACACAGGGATCAATTCAGTAGTTCTGTTTAGGCAAATATATACTGAAGATGCTAAGAATGATGAGAAAATTTTCAGGAGCAAAGTAACATTAAAAATATGTAAAGAACCTATCACTGTGAGAGAGAAAAAGCAGATTTTTCTACTTAGATATTAAAATAATGATTCCTAAATGGATGTCGTTGTACATGCCTGTAATCCCACCTACTGGGAGGCTAAGTCAAGAGGACCTTAAATTTGAGGCCAACTCAGTAAGACTTTGTCTTAAAAATAAAAATGCAGAAGATACAGCTCAGTAGTCCCTGGGTTTAATTATCACTATTAAAAAATAAAAAGATTCTTTATTCTCACTAGCATTTGACATTTTTAAATGCTACCATAATATGGATAATATGCAGATTAAGTTATTTATTGTAAGGAACAACTCCTATTAAATAAAAGCTGTAATTATTGATACAGTTATAGAGCATAGTATCATTAACCCTGCTTCCTTCCTTGTGGTAAGAAGAATACGCCAATGTCCCAGAACTATATTAGGATAATGTAAAGGTGACAAGGCCTTGAAAAAAGAAACATATTCAGGCCAGGGATGTAGCTCAGTGGCACTGCACCTGCCTGGCAAGTGCAAGGTCCTGAGTTCGATCAGGTAACAGAAAGAAAAGGGGAGGGAAGGGAGGGAAGGAAAAAAGAGACAGAGACCGATAGAAAGAAAAGGAAGGAAGGAAGAGAAAGAAAAAGAAAAGAGAGAAAAAGGAAGAAAGGGAAAGAAAGAAAGACATGTTTTAAAATGCAACCTACAGAAAATGGTCACTGCTGGGTTATGAGATGAGGTAAAAGGGCTGGGGATATAACTGCCTGGCAAGCACAAGACGAGTTCAATTCCCAGTACAAAAAAAAAAAAAGATGCGATGAGATAAAAATGGGAAGGAGTAGGACAGGTTGTTTTAAACTATCTAGCTATTGTTTTTATCCCTTTCTAGTTCAAGCTGTGAAACCAGGGCTTCCCACTGCTCAGATGCTTTCCAAACAGCTAAACAAAGGATTGACTAATCCCAGTAGGCAGGATCAGCAGAGGCAACTAATTCTTCATTCATAGATTTATTAATAAAAATTTATCCTGTCAGGTAACATTAATGGAGCATCTATGGTAGGCTAGGCACTGTTTTAGTGCCACAAATACAAAATAAACAAAGATATGGCCTTGCCCGAGTTACTTCAATACTCTAACTAGAAAGGGAGGCAGGCCTGTTCCACAGTGGGTTATACAGCACTAGGGATGGTTATAGCAATGCTAGAAAAGAAGGATTTCTGATGGGGAGTCAGAAACCCTGAAATTTAAAGCTTGATGTGGGTAGGACTATTTAGTGTTAATGTACAGAGAGAAGTGATGAGCGTGGTCCAGCCAGAGGCAGTGGCCTGTGCATTATTATTCCTATGACCATTTACTAAAGGAGCCCAGTGAAACCGGAGGTAGAGCAGTTCCTGCCATCTGTCTTACCTTGAGGATAAGTTACTCTACAATTAGGGAACCAATAACTATGCCGTAAGATAACCTCATTTTTACCTTATTAACCTCTAATCATTAGGCAGTACAGAGAATACCACTTGCGACCATACAAATGCCATGAAAATCCTCAGGAACTAATTCTTCAATGCAAGACCTACTACCTGGTCTCTATGTCACCAGCAGATGGCAAAAGTGGTAATGTTAAATTAGCTCCAGTGTTCAGTGTTGATTTCTTTGTGTCGAAGATCAAATCAACTATGAAGCAATAAAAAAAAAAATCTATTCTCTCTCTCTGACCTCATAAGAAAAACTAAAATATGGAGGATGTAGAACTTGAAATTATGGAACTAAGGAGGAAAGAAAAGATGTGGACCTCTTTCTGCATAAAAACAACAACAACAACAACAAAAAAAAAAAAACCACACACTTCAGCAGTTCACCATACTAATTTATGTCTGGAAACTACTGACTACCACTTTGAGCACCTCTTATAGATGCCAAAGGTAAATCGTATCAATCTCAACCTCATGACATCTCAATAAATTTAGTATTATAATATTTATAAAAGTTTTTCTTTTCTGCGATGTATACTTTTTTTAGTGCACTCAGTGTTATGTATGGACATGTATAAGACAATACATATAGTATGATTTTATACAAAGGTCAAAAATCAGAACACTCCCTTCCCCCCAAAAATCTTAAGAGATCTGTGTGGAGGCAACACAATGAATTTCAAAATCAAGGAAATACTTACCATAAAAGTCAGAGGAGAGCTAGCTCTAGGTGAGGAAAGAGAGGAAAAGATTTGAAGGGAGCCCTGGGATGCTTCTGGGGCAGGTGGCCAGTTTGTAGTTCTCTATCTGGTAGTGGTTACCACTGTTTCTCTAATTCACTGAGCTGTACTTTGTGAAATTTAACAGTCAAACAGAAAATCACACAAAACAAAGAATTTTTGAAAAGCTGTTCCCTTTTATCATTTTACTGTATTTTTTTATCTCTGTAGGTTGAGACCTTTACAAAACTCTCTGTTGTTTCATATTATCATTTTACATTGCTTTTTGGTCTCTCTTGGTTTAGGCCTTTACAAAGTTCTCTGTTGTCTTAATAAAATTTCTGGAGGGAACAAAAAGAAGTGTATGCATTCAACTGAACAATTTTAACTGAAAAGTTCTCTCTCCTTTTTAGGACTTCTTTTTTTTTTTGTACTGCGAACCAAACTCACAGGCATACACTGTGCCACTTATCTACATTTCCAGCCAAAGGACTTTATTTTATATGCTTGAAAACTTCCAAAGAAAATGCTGTTTTTTATATGATCGTGAATTGTTAGGAGAAAGGTATATATTTTTGTTTAAAAGAAACTACTAAAAAGCCCATATATAAATGATGGAATGAACTAGCCTGCTATATTAAAAAAATAAAAACTTCAATTTTTTTCAGAATTGTTCAGTACATTATTATTATTATTATTATTATTATTATTATTATTATTATTATTCTTGGTTCCAGGGATCGAACTTGAGACCTTGAGCTTGTGAGGCACATGCAACACCACTGAACTAAATCCCCAGCCCTAAGTACAGTATTTTTTTGTCTGATTTGTCAGAATGGAGAAAAATTAGCAAATCTCATCTCTGTTAATATTTGTCTTCAAGTTTACACTTATAAAAACTTACACATGTCTAATGTGTTAGACACAGACAATGCAATGTGGCTGTACCTCTAAAAAAATGAAACACTGAAACATTAAATAAATTATTCTACATCACTGAAAGATTATCTGGACCCTCACTAAGAGAAGGCCAGGGCTGCGGATGTAGCTCAGTGGTATAGCACTTCCCAGCATGCATGAAGCCCTGGGTTCAACCCCTAGCACCTCTTCCCCCTAAACGTATACAAACAAAAGCAGATTAAATATAAATAAAAAGGAAATGAAGAGCCCCCCCAAAGAAGTGTATATCAGAGATGTATGCATAAGTGTAGTTAGTGAGTCCAGTTATTCCTTTGCTGGTTTTGCAATAGACTTATAATTTGCGCAGGATGTTTATTAGTTTTTTAGTGTAACTAGAATTTAGAATAGAATTTTTTTTTTATGGTGTGTAAAAGATGGTTTTGCTTTTTAAATAACAGTAAAACCACAGATGCTTTAGATCAATGATGTTCTGTTAAAAATTTAAATAATTCAAAATTTAAATACAAAAACTAAAATTTACAAATGATGGGCAGGGAGTTTAGGTCAGTAGTAAAGCCTGTGGAACCTGAAGGTTACATAAACTCAAAAAAAAAAAAAAAAAAAAAAACCCCAGAAAAGTCCAGCTAACCAAATAAACAAAATGAAATAGCACAAATAATGCTTCCTGGCTATAAAACATTACCGTTTGTCTACAGATTGGACAACTGATTGCGCCAAGCCATGAACCATATCGCCAGTAAGCAATAATGCAGGTCCCTAATGAAAAAAAAGAAATATTAAGGTTTTAAAGTCCATAATATCTCGAGAAAGCTTCAAATATTTAACATTAATTAAAAGTACTTTTTGCTTCATCCAGCCAACTCTTCAAGCAAATTCAAATATAGTAATTTTCAGCCATTAAAAATATTTCGTTTAAATTATTAGTTATATTTACACAGTCAAAAGCAGTTACTTCAATGCAATGAAAATACTGCATTTCCGGTGTAAATTAAATAAACATCATTGTAAATGACAACCAACACATCCCAACATAAATTTTGTTTCAATTTTGATATGTATGGTATAAAAACAAAACTTTTATTTTTAAGAGTTTAGAAATCCAAGTTACACGTACTGACATTAACTAATAGAAAACGCAAGGAACCAACACATTTTAAGATTGTGTGTTCTATGTCCTAACCAAGTTTATGATCCAGTTCAATAATTGAATCAACTCTTGTAATACATGAATGCAATTTTTCTGTTTAAAAGAGTATTCATGAGCAGCAAAACAGCTGAAAATATCTAAATAAAGGAAGAGTTCCCATGACCTCAAAAAGTGGTGGGGAGCTAAATGGATAAACAGTAAACTTCAAAAAGTACATGAAGGAGTAAGGGGTCAACTTTACTTTTTTCTCTATGGGATATTTGCATCTTTTTTGCGGGGGTACCAGGGATTGAATTCGGGTCCTTGTGCTTGTGGATATTTGCATCTTTAACTGTCCAGGTCCCACAGGCAGATCTGAGCAAAGTACTAAGTATGTGCTGAACCAAATCTCCCTTCCACCTCTATATTCTTATTCTCAGCTACAGACCTAACTTCATCCTCCTGTGTACCTTATTCTTATTTCTCTACCTCAGAATTCAGAACAAGTACAAGCAAGACAACCCAACTGGGAAGACCAAGGGGACACATGTAAATCAGTTAGAAGGCAGCTAGATCTTGAACTGTATACTATTAAGTAAAAAGGAGCATAGAGGCCAGAAGAAGGGCATACCTGTAAGCTCAGCACTCTGGGAAGCTGAGGCATGAGTTTTGCAAGTTTGAGCCCAGCCTGGATAATTTAGTGAGACTCTTGTCTCAGAAAGAGGAGTGGGGTTGGGATGTAGCTCACTCTGAAGTCCTGGGTTCAACCCCCAGTAACAGGGAAATCTAACAGAGAGGGACATATCAAAGTCTGCAGAGGAGAAAGGGTTTGGATTGAACTTTGTGGAATAGACAAGATTTAGATAGGCAGAAAACATGAGGACTCGGTAGGCTTTTGAAGAGCAACAGCACACATCAAGGGTAGAGATGCACAATGTAAGGATGCCAGTTAGCAGATGCATGAGCAGAGCCAGTCCCACTGACGTTACAGGGACCAATTTAAAGGCAAATTTAAAAGCCAAGCAATCTTATCTGATATCTTTACTCTCAGAGCTTATGTATTCGTTTATTTATAAGCAGGGTCTTGCTGTGCAGTACAGGTTGGCCTTCAATTTGTCATGTACCCCAGGCTGGCCTCAAACTTCCAGTCCTCCTTTCAAGTGTTGGGATTCTGGATAGATAGTATTTATTAGGTACTTTGAGAAATCTAATTTGAAATAGAAACTATAAAAAAGAAACATTAATCTGTTAGTTTTATTAGAATCTGTAATGATATCTTAGCTTTATCTACTGCCTTTTTGTATTATTATAATATCTGTGATGACGTTACCTTTACTACCTTTTTACTCAGAACTCAGTGAATTTTGACATATACCAGACTCATTTAATCTTTTCCACAAATAGGGGTCTAGACATTCTTGTTTTGCAAATTATGGAATGGCTACTCGCCTGCCCTGACAAACTATGCCCCAGCCAATCAAACACTCAGTTCATTCAAATTTACCATTATTATTTTTACCCCCTGGTACCAGGGATCAAACTCAGGACCTTGCACTTGCAAGGCAGGCTCAGCACCACTGAGCTAAATCCCCAGGCCTAAAGGTAGGTGGTTTCTTTTGTTTTTTCCATTAAATTTTTGATGTCTTTCTGTTCAACTTTCTTCCTCTGTAAAAAAGATAGCCAAGGCAAGTATGGTGGTACACATCTGTAATCACACCCCTCTGGGAGGCTAAGGCAAGGTGAGCCTCACCTAGGTAATTCAGTGACTTAGTAAGACCTTGTCTTAAAAAAAACAATTCAACAAACCAATGAGCAAAGATATTCACCCAAGTAGGATCATAGGAAAGACAACAAAACAGCTTTCATCAGTTATTCTCTCTCTCGGTCTGTTGATTTATAAGATGAGAATAAGACCTCAAAAGCTTGCTAGTGAATTAAATAAAATTCACTAATAATGTGAGTTACAAGTGCACATAAAGTGATATATTGCTGTCCTTATTCTTAATTCACTGTCATCAAACAAGTGTGAATCTACATATGAAAAGTAAAAAAGCTAAAGTGCTCTTGATATATGTGGAATTAATATACTTGAACTATTATCCAAAGAAATACATTTCTGTATTGAAAAGTTGAATACAGTAATTAGTTATTAAAAAATCTTTGAATGTACAGCTAATAAGTAGAGCATATCAGAAGCAGTCTATCCAACTACCTTGGACCTAGAAATAAAGAGTACAGCCAACTTTGGATTGACAGTCATCCACTCTGAATTAGCTAAGCCTGGGTTGGCAGGTAAACTCACCTGGCCTGCCAGCACCTTATGCCCGGAACACTACCCGGAAGACTTTGTTAGCAGCTGCTGAGGTCAGGCTCCGAAGAAAAGACCAGCAAACTAATTAGGAACATCTACCGGAGTTGAGAGGAGAAAGGTTTCTGCCTTCTCTCGTGGTCATTACATTTTCCCCAAGTAGCTTTCATTATTTTGCAGCTCATTAGTATTTCAACAGATAATAAAAAGACTGAGATGGAAATATATGTTTTATAATTTGTTAGTTATTTAGGCAAAAACCCTTAGGGAAGAGGCTGAAATGAGTGGATGAAGCAATTTGGAGTGGTGCTGCTAAACAAGCACAAGGTGTGAAAACCCTGCGTTGCATAAGAGGGTCTTCAAATACTTATGTCATCCAAACAGCATAAATAACAATCCTGTATTTAAAAATTCCATGCTGAAGTCAAAGAAAAGATACTAAGGGGATCATTGTTTACTACATTTTAAATTAGTCTTTATATGGAAATTTGATATATTTTGGAAATAATTAAGACTCTCTCCTGTTATGTCTGAGGTAACAGGGTAGATGACTTCCAATATCCTGCTCAACTTGTTAGCCACTTTTATTTAGTGTCTGTTAGATTCAAATGTTAAAGAATAACTAGTTATTCAGCTGCTGTTTTTTCTTTTTTCTTTTTTTTTTTTGGTACTGGGGATTGAACTCAGGACTATGCACTTGTGAGGCAGGCAGCAGAACCACTGAGCTAAATCCCCAGCCTTTCCAGCATCTTGATAAGCAAAAAGAAACACTACCATTAAAAAAAAAATGTCTAATGATTGCACAACTCTTAAGTAGAGAGCACAGAGTGATCACTATTGTGTAAATCACCAATCACACAGTCAAACTGAGCACAGGACTTGAAAACTGAGCAAGGTTTAAAACTTGGCTCTGTTGCGTAGCAGGTGGATTAACCTTTATAAAATTTCATAACGTCACCAAACCTCAGTTTTCTCATTTGTGTTTAGATAATATTAAGTCTGTTGGGCTGGGGATTTAGCTCAGTGGTACTGCCACCTGCCTCTCAGGGGCAAAGTACTGAGTTCAATCCCCAGCACAAAAAAAAAAAAAAAAAAAAAAAATTAAGTCTGTTAAGTGTCCTGCACATAGTGGACATCTCCTATTCCTTAATGGCCATGACAATATGTTACATCAGTGTTCTCTAGAAAATCTTTTTGGAGGGTGAGAGCAACCAAGTAAGAAACACCCTTTACTATAACAAGAAGCTAGTGTGAAATCAGTATTCCCTTCTTGTCCTGCTACATGCTCTCAGTTTCTCATTCTCCCTCTCTAACTCTCTTGAGGTCACAAAGAAAGGTAATCTAAGAATTTTTGAACTGACCCAAGGTAAAGACAGGTAGCAGAGCTAAAACATGGTTTTAAGCATGATTCTTGGAAAAAGACCTTTCCTACATGAAACCACCAAAGAAGTGAAGAACAAGGAGGGATTCAGGAATCTATAATACCACTGATATACTTGAATTACTATGCAAAGAAACACTACTGTTGGCTGAGAATCTGAATAGATTTTTTTTAAACTTTTTTTTTTCTTTTTTTGGTACTGGGGATCGAACTCGGGACCTTGCTCTTTCAAGGCAGGCAGAGGAACCACTGAGCTACATCCCCAGCCAGATTTCTTTAAACTTTTGAACTCACAAATGCTACAAAACACACTAAATAAAAAGTATAAATGTAAATAGTATAATACTTAGATGCTAAATATACTTGGTCCACAAGTAGAGCAGGATATTAGAACCAGTCTACCTTAGAACCAATGTATATGTCTAAGCCTTGATTTATACTTCTAAAAGCATACCATAGTACACTTACCACAAAAAAGATGTCCACAGTTTGTTTCAACAGGGAAGGAGGCTTGATGTAAGCAGATTGGACAGTACATGTCAGTATAGTACTGCTGTCGAGCAGCAGCTGGTACATCCTGAGGAGACATGTATCTATGTTTACATCTTACACACAGGGCTTTTGACACTATCTTGTTAAATTACGTGCAAGAACACTAGTGTTTAATCTTCATCACATTTTGAATATGCAGTAATTTGAGGTCTTGTGACTTACTGACAACCACTCTGGAACAGACTACTATTAATATGCTTACAATATTACATTAATGAGTTCCTTGAGAGTGGGAATGTTTGTCTGTTTAGTTCACAACTGAATTATCAATGCCTAGAACAATGTCTGGCATGTAGTAGAAGTTAAAAAAACAAAATGTGAATGGATAAATTATAAAGCCTTTTTGGAAATAAAATCTGATTCTTTTTTTGGTTTTTTGGTTTGTGTTTGTGTTTTTGAGACAGGATGTTTGGTTCAGGCTGGCCTTGAACTCACTATGTAGCCGAGACTGGCCTCAAACTAACTGCAATCCTCTTGCCTTAGCCTCCCAAGTCGTGGGATTACAGGCATGCACCACCAAGCCGGGCAGATTGATTTTGGAATGCTTTTAATTTTTTTGCCCCAAAACTTGGGATGGAACTCAGGGAACTCTATCACTGAACTACATCCTCCTCCCTTTTTAAAGTTTGTTTTGTGACATGGTCTCACTAAGTTGCTAAGTTGTCCAGGCTGGCCTTAAATGCCAGCCTCCCAAGAATATGCTGTTTATGCTAGCCTTCATAAGCTATGCTACATTTATGGTTCTTAGAGCTTCCATCTGGTTAAAAGTAAAGATGAGGCAGAGGAAAAGATTTTCTTCTCTGCCTAACTAGTATTGTTAGCTATGAACACTGAAGAGGGGGGTGGGTGTTAAAAAACAGCTGCCCCTTTTAATCATTTGCTGAAAGTCTTAGGGTGTATATGTTTTTTAAGTTTTCCACTACACTTCAGCTAAGACCAACTACACTAATTATTTCTGTGCAAATAGGTAGTGTGAAAACTGTTCTCTTTTAAAGCGACTTAAAATATGCAAACATTTGAATAAATTAAGACAAGGCAATTTGCTTAATCTGAAAATATACAATCTGTAGAACAATTCAAAGCCATTTAAAAAACAAAAGCCCATGTTTCTTAAAAATTTATTAATGTTTCATTCATCTCAAATGCAAAATGTACATGTCATACAACAGTACCTGTTCTGTTTGAAGTTGTTCTCGAAGCACCCTTACTAGCTCTTGGTTTTCTGGATGGATGTTCTGATGTACACTTCTGTTAAGTAGAATATAATAAATGTTTAATGTAAAATATTGTCGGATTAATCCATCTGTTTTCTAGGTCTAATTTCATTTTAGAGCCACTAATAATTAAATAAATGTAACTGATGACATTCATTTGCACTCCCAAGTCAACTGGGAGAGCAGCTGTGTCCCGTACCCTGCAAAATGTAGGGTTGTTGGTGGTGAGTTCTTCCCAGATTCCTGATCACTGGTTAATTTCAGATTTAACTGCAAAATGATAAAATCCAGAAGCCTCTTAATCTGCAGATTTCTTGAAATCACCAAGTTCTAGAACAATTAACACATTTGTTTTGTGAAATTTCTTCAAAATAAGCAACTGTATCTTTCTATATAGTATTTAAGTACTTCCTCATATCTAATTAGGTTTAACTTTTCAGTTTGAGGGGAACAAAGCAGAAACTAAATATGTAGAAAAGATAAAACTTAATATACCACTAGTATCTTAACATTAATCTGAAAATGGAGAGTCAAAGGTAAGAAGTTGGTGGCTAATATAAGTGGGTGGGATAAGACAAGCAGGAAATTATAAGTGGAGGTCAGATTGGAAGGTGGGGGTGAAAATTTACACCTGAATCACAGTTCAATCTCATTTGACTATAAACTTTCCTCCCTAAATTTAAACATCTTGACCAACAATTTTCTGGGCAGGCTACATCAAACAGAAATAACTAGTCTCCTAATAGGATAAAAAAAAAAAATTAAAGAAATCCATTCTACAAATACCTAGTTTTTGAGAAAGAAAATCAGATTATACAAGAAAGCTGACAAAATATCAGCATTAGTTCAGTAAGGACAGAAAAGCAATTTAAAGTCAAGTATCTATGTAGAAGTACTATATAAGTGTAATAAAACTACTCAACTCTAAACTTCTTGAATTTTTGGTAAATTATTTCAAAACAAGTTACATTCTTATAGCTGAATAAATGATCTATGAAAGAAGCCTATCTATATAATGAAAACAATCTATCAAATTATTAGTACAAGAATCATTTAAATACCAGTGAAGTCTTGACTAGACAAAATTCTGTACTCTTCGAGAATAGAAAAAATTTCCTTTTCATTGGAGAAAAAAAAATTGACTTGCCACAGTATAGACATGAACCATATGCCTGGGAAAGCCTTTCGTTGGGCTTCTTTCCATATAAGGGAGATGTTAAGATTCCTTAAATCTACAGTAGAAAAGTAAAAATATAGCCAATAAACAAGAAGAGCCAAAATGATAAACACAGCCTGGAGCTCAAGTAACTAAAGATTACTGGCAGCTAGTGGTATAGTATAGAACCAAAAGTTTAGAAAGCAATGGGTAATTCGCCTGCTTTGCAAGCGCAGGAATCCAAGTTCGATCCCTGGTAACAACGACAACGACAACAACAACAACAAAAAAAAAAAAAAGAAAAAAAGAAAAAAAAAAAGCAATGGGTGATTGCCAGGCATGGTGGTGCATGCCTGTAATTCCAGCACTTGGGAGGCTGAGGCAGGAGGATCGCTGTGAGTTCGAGACCAGCCTGGGCTACATAGTGAGTTCCAGTTCAGTCTCAACTACACAGTGAGACTCTGTCTCAAAAAAACCAACCAACCAACCAAACAAAAAAGCAATGGGTAATTAAAACAGATTGAAAACCAAAGTAGAAAATGTGAGATCAACTTAGTTATGAGAACATGAGAGATCACTGTGGGTGTGTTCTCTCTGCAGGGTTTTGCACTTGTAAATAATTTATTTTCTCTTTATTCTTTTTTGTTACAAAGTTCATTAGCACGTGTTTGCAGTACACTATATTACACTCATCCTGGGGAGGTGGCACATGTGTAAGGCTCATCTGTTCTCATGCCTCTCCTCCTCTTCCCCACTCTCATCTCTCGGTTCCCTTCCCTTTGGCAAAAGAGATCCATCTCCCTGTGTCCTATGGTTTCTCTTTTACTTTGCTCTTTATGCTTTGGACTTCTCACATAAGTGAAACTATATGTGTCTGATTTATTTCAATTAACATTTGGTCTCAAGGTGCATCCGTTTTTCCACAAATGACTCAAATTTATCCTTATGGCACTGCGGCATTACTCCATTGTGTACAGATACCATATTTTCTTTATCCACTCATCTGTTGATTGACATACAGGCTGCTTCCAAGATTTAGCTGTTATGAATTGTGCTGTGATAAACACTGGTATGCAAGTATCACTGTGATATAGTATCATTAACTTTTTCAGGAAAATACCTAGAAGGGGAATAGCTGGGTTGAATAGAATTTCTAGTTTTACTTCTTTGAAGAATCTCCATGCTGATTTCCGTAGTGCTTGTACTAGTTTATATTCTCAACAGTTTCAAAGTGTTTCTTTTCCCCTGAAGCCTTGCAAGCATTAGTTATTATTTGATTTCTTAATGATGGCCATTCTTTCAGGAGTAAAATGGAATGTGTGTTGTTTGTATGTGCATTTCTCTAATAGTCAAAGAGTCCAAACATTTTTCATGTCTTTACAGGCCATTTGTATTTCTTCCATGAAGTGTCTATTGATTTCAGTTGCCCATTTTTTAATTGAGTCTTCTATTTTGAGGGGATATAAGTTTCTGAGTTCTTTATATATTGTAGACATTAGTCTTCCATCTAAGGTGTAGCTGGCAAAAGTTTTTTCCCCATTGTGTAGGTTGTCTCTTCACTCCATTGGTTTTCTTTGCCTGGCCAGAAGCTTTTTAATTTGATATAATCCCATTTGTTGATTCTTGATGATATTTCCTATGCAACTGGGGTAGTCCTGTTCAGAATGACTTGTTCTTCCTTAAAGTATCACTCACTACTAGCTATCATTTGTTGACATATCAGAAACCAGTCCAAAGGGTCTTTCACATTTCTATAACTTGATTCCATCTAACTCTCTCCTATGCTTTGAGGTATCATTGCTTTCTTCATATTAAAGGTTACTGGCTCTTTTTCAGGGTTATATACAACTTAAATTGGTTTGACAGTTTTAATTTTTCCCTTTCGAAGACAAAGAAGAATCATAAATCATTCGCATATGTAGTAACAAATGTATTTGAGTTCTGTATTAGAGCCACTGCCTTTCTTGGCATCTTACTTTAGAACAACTGAGCTATGAGAAAATGACAAGACATTATAAACCAATGGATTAGAACACAAAGCCCAGAAATCAATTTTCAGACACGGCTGCTATTGACTAAAAATTTGTGTGTCCCAAACCTCAATTCATATGTGGAACCTCTATTCTCCAATGTGACAATATTTGGAAATGAGACCTTTAAAAGGTAATTAGGACATAAGGGTGGCACTGTAATGATGGAATCAGTGGCCTTAAAGAGACATGGGGAACTAGGGATGCAACTCAGTGGTAGAGTATATGTTTCTATGTAAAGCCCCAGGGCTGAATCCCTAGCACCACACATGAAAAGAAACACGGAAGACATGCCTTCTTGTCTATGTACCTTTCCAAGTGAAGATACAATGAAAATACAGCCATTTGCAAACCAGGAAGTAGGCTCTTGCCAGACACTGGATCCACCAACACTTTATATATAGTTTGGATCTTCAGTCTCCCACAAACCATATATTAGAGCCCTCCACCCACCCAAAGTGGACCCATTGGGAGGTAGAAGGGCATTTATTGTGTTCCTTGTATACCTAATTGAATTTTTATCATGAAAGGATGTTGAATTTTGTCAAATACTTTTTCTGTATTTCTTGAGCTGATCATATAAGTTTTTTTTCCTTCATTCTGTTAAATGTGTATTATATTAATTGGTCTATGTACACTAAGGCCAAAAAAAAAAAATTTTTTTTTTTTTTTTTTTTTT